ATTCAATTTTTTAAGCCAAAATGGAGGAAACGTAAGGTTGAATTGGTCCTCCACAGGCCTTATATACCATTTCACTAGCAAATCACAGATTCACAACCAAAGACAACCACAATGCGTATTACTCAAAAATCAGCTAACACCAAGTGCATTCAACGTAAACAAACCCTAGATCTAGGGTGAAATTAACATTTCATTCAATAATTGTATTGAAATTACAAGGCTATTCGAGAAAGAAACAGAGAGCTGAAACCCGTACCTAAGATGACGGAGCTCCGGAAGATAATTCCTTTAGGACAAAAACGACGCCGTTTGTTTAAGTCAAATTCACCCTTCAACCCACAACTTTGCTCTTCTCCTAGCGTTTTATCCACCTCTTACCTAAGTCCCTACAAAATGAGATTTATACTTTAAATGTCTTCAATTTGGTACAAAATGACATTTAATTAAATTTAATCTTGATTTTTCTTGACAAAATGTTTCAGATTAATTCCCATGTCACATTAGAGTTCAAAATTTTGAAAACTTTCATTTAAAGTTAAAAAACCCTGAAATTTTAATATTTTTGAGAAAAATCGAGATTTTTGAAGAATTTTAGGTTTGTTAGGTAAAAGTGGAGTTTTGAGAAATTTCGAGTAAAATTTGAGATAAAAACAAAAAATTAGGGGAAAAATTTGAAGTTATAATAGATATTAAAAGATAAAAAAATCTACCATTATAATTACAACTTTACACTTTAAAATGAACAAGTCTAACCATATTCAATCTCGTATTATTTTCTTAAAGCTTTGTTAGGGAGTGTTAGATTGTATCTATAATTGTAGATTTTTTAGTCCTTTAATATTATAAAAGGATATAAAATATATTTAATATTTATTTTAATTAACATTTTATATATTTTTATAATAAAAAAATTTAAAAATTTTCAATTGTTATTCATATAAGTGGTTAAAATTCTATTTAAAATTTATATAAAAAATTAAAAAATCAAATTAAAACTATTAAATAAAAATGAAGTATCAACTACCAAACATAAGTTTATAGTAATTTAAAAATAAATAAACTTATCAAATCTCTATTTTATATTAATTTGAAAAAAAAAAAAAAAACCTAACTGCTACTCTTAAATTACCATATCAAACAATTCTTAATCAAACTAAATACATACAATGTGTAAAATCATTGTAAATAACACATAAAAACACACAAATCATTTTCAAGGGAATAAATTTTGTCGTTAAGAAAGACCAGCAATCAACATAAAAAAGGGCCAGACGAACGAATGTGGAAATTTACCTTCTGTTGAAACACATTCGGTTAAGGTATTTGGCAATGGTAATTTGGGTACATAGGTGAAGTCGTGAAGATTTTTGCTCTGTAATGGAGTGGTAGGAGTACCTATATCTGAGACCAAACATATATTTATATTGAAGTAACCTAACCCTGGGGTTGAGATTTAACCTTGGAGCTTAGACCTAACCCAAGAGTTTTGGTGCTTTTCCAAGTTTAGAACACGTGCATTGACTGACTTAGAAATGTTTTTATGAAGTTTTGTCTATGTTAAAAATACATGAAAAAAATATAATAAATATATTTTTTATAATTAATATTTATAAAAAATTATAAAAATTAATATTTTTTTAATATTATTAATACATGAATAATTTTAATTAATTAATTAATTTAAAATTAATATTTATTTTTTTTATAAATTAATTATAAAAAAAAAATTAATTACAATTCTTAAATCACAAATTAAAAAATTTCTTTTATTAATTATCGAGCCATTCAACAAATTTAAAATTAATTTTTTAAACAGCTACAAATTTAAGGTATGAAATAGAGAATTTTAACATTAGAGCTCGAACTTGGACTAGTGCCCAAGTGTTGGGTGTAACTAGGGGTGGGCAAAAACCGGTTTCGGTTAAAACCGAAACCGATTTTGAATTAACCGAAAAAATTCGGTTTTAATTTTACAAATCGAAACCGAATCGAAATTGTTATAAGTTAATCGGTTCGGTTACCAAATTTTATCAATGAATTCGGTTCGGTTTCGGTTTTTATTAAATAAATATTAATTAATTATTTTTTTAATAACAAATTATATTTTATCACATATTTTATCATATTTTATTATATTTTATCATATTTTAATATATTTTATCTATTTTATTCTAATTTTGGTTTTATTTTCGGTTTTCGGTTTTTAAGAGACTCAACCGAAACCGAACCAAAATATATTTGGTTAATACCGAAACCGAAAAAATAAAACCGAAAACCGTTGAAACCGAACCGAATTCATTTTTTCGGTTCGGTTTTCGGGTAAACAATCGGTTCGGTTGAAAAATGCCCAGCCCTAGGTGTAACTACTAACTTCCCTGTGAGGTCCTGGCAAATTTAAAATTAATTAAACAGTCTGAATGCATCTTTTGAAAGTTTTTTAAGGGTGGGCACCGTCGGTTCGGTGGTCGAACCGACCAACAATAGCGGTTAACCAACTTTTCGATGGAGAAAAAGTACAAACCATTCACCAAACCGAATTAATTTTGGTTGTATTGGTTCAGTGACCAATATATTTTGGTTTTTCAAATTTGGTTTGGGTTTGACCGAAATACACAGAGGAGATCAACGGGAGAAGAAGATAGTGAAGGCAGTGTTGCGTCACGCCAAAGAGAATGAGTTCACAAGGTGAGATCTTTACTTTTTGTAAGCTATAAGTGCCGAGTTCTCCTTAGATCATTTGAAAGAAAAAAGGAAAGAAACATGGAGAAGAGAAAACGGAGAGAGGACGGTAGAAGCCAAAAAGCTGTGTGAGTGAAATGAGGAAGGAAGGAACATATAGTATCAATTTTGATTCAATGGATGAAATAAAATCAGAATAAGTTATAAAAAATAAAAGTAAATGGTACTGTTTACCGTTTTAAATGATAAAACATTTCATGACGATGGCTGTTCATGCTCATTCATAATTGAGAGTGGCATTTCTTTTCGATTTCACAAGGACGCATTTCACATGGAGCTGAGCTGTAGACGCTCACTCCCATCCGCGTACAGTGTCTGATGCTGGTAATAATTGTACATTTCCATCCGTCCAAACATTTTATCTCTGATCAAACTGATCCCTCCACCACACAGTCACATGCTGGCATTTTCTGTTTTGTATGGTTCAATAATGGCTTTTCCTAATCGTTTCACCTGCGTTTTGCCGAAAGTTGTTCCCTGTTTACTGTACTGGACAAAATGGACAGTTAAAAATGAGAACGGGGTGCTTACTAATCACTTCAACTTTATAAAGAATTTTTTTTATATTTAATTTGATAGATGTGATGTTTGAATTTCATCTCTAATATTTAAAAAAATAAATAATTGAAAATAAATAAACAATTAAATGTAAATAGTTATTAATTTTTAAAAATTTCAATTAAATAACAAAAATATTCAATAAATTCATTATTAGAAGATCGAAAAACTAAAAATTGAATATATAACCAAAAATAAAATTTTATATAACTAATGATATAAA